AGGAGCAAGAACGAGTCTGTCCTTGATGACAGAGAGGACACACATTGTAAGGATGGGGTGGATCGGCACATGGAGGACCTATCTGAGCATTCTGAGCACAACAATTGCTACGACAACTGCGATTGAGCATGTCCAACATCCACTTTTGATTAAAGGTATGTCGATTGCAGGCCAAAATGAAGGAAGAACGCTCACCACAAAAGACCATGCATTCAGTATAGCTCCCATGGCCGCAAAATGGACATAACGTCCGAATGCGGAGGGTGTCTGTAGTTAGGAACGGAGGGACAGTCCTCTACACACAGATGCAGAAACCATGTCATCGTAGTGATTGTAACAAAGACAATGGCAAGTACAACCGGGTGTAACAGTGTCTGTAGTAATGCAAAGGAGAAGTTCGCAGAGTGTTGGTACACTGTAGTGCTGCAGCATGGGGCCAGGGGAATGATCTTCAACATAAAAGAGATTGCGAACAGTTTGGTGTGGCAAGAAAACAACACCCATATGTAAGAAATCGGTAACATCAATCATGGCATGGACCATGATGCCGTTGTCAAGTGGTTAGAGGTACGTACAAAGGCCATGTAATGGCCAGGTCCGTGCACAAAGCAGGGCTCTGTATAGGATGGAGGATTAAACCACTCACCTGCTCGAAAGCCTTTTTCCCTGGTGTAATTACAATCCTGTATGTGTGTGTGTGTGTGTGTGTGTGTGTGTGTGTGTGTGTGTGTGTGTGTGTGTTTATTGCACTACAACAACCCCTATTCCATCCAGACGAGTAGATACGAGTTGAGTCAAGTAAACAATTAAAGAATTTCACCCTTAGCAAGCAACATGAATCATAATAGAAGTGTTTAAAACCGTGTTTAGCCGAGGTTTCTTCGGGGCAACAACTCATCTTTTACTATGCTTTACATGCACAAGGCTGCCCACATTGATGGTGGTTGAGCGACAGCTGCCCACATCCCTGTGTGCCTTAGCGGCCCACTTGCATGTGATAATAGGAGGCAGAGTAAAACGGAAGGTATGCTCCTGTGCATTTCTCTTTAGATTTTCGTACTACTGGTCATTTCACTTTTGTGTTTGTCCTTCATCTTCATACTTCCATTCATTTTACTTGCAATCTTCATATCGTTTGTTCTCTCAATGATGCTCATTCATATGTATTTGCCAGTACCCCAAAAGGCGAAGGTGGAGGGGAGATGGAGGGAAAGGGATAGAAGGCGGAGTTCTGTAGGGGTGTGGGGTAGGGGGAGGTGGAGGGTAAAGGGCAGGAAAGAAACATGTGAAGGGCAGGATAGAGTACGGCATGCAAAGGGCCGGGAGAGGTGTATAACGAACTTCACAGAATTCTAAACACTCACCGCTGGAACAGATGACTATAGAATGACACATGGTTGCAAAACATTATTTTTTTGTAGAGCGGCAGTTATTGCCTACTAGCGGACCTGTTGCAGCTACGTCCTCAATAAAAAGGGAATTTTTGCCAAGAAGTTGACGGTCTCTCTCTCTCTCTCATGAAGGTGGCGATGGACTCTCTCTCTCTCTCTCTGGTGCACGCACAGGCTTGCGGATTTTCCACTTTTTTTTCTTCTTTTTAATTGGTCACGATGGACCATCTCTCTCAAGCCTATGTCTACTACCTCCCTCTCTTGCGATCCCGCCATCTCTCTCTCTCTCTCTCTCTCTCTCTCTCTCTCTCTCTCTCGATGGACCACGGATCACATATGAAAATGCATCTTGTAAACAGTCTCGATGGACCATGGAGCACATCCTACATTTGATCATTGGCAGGTGGGCGGGGTGGCACGTAGTTAGTTAGATTGGGGTCCCCCTCTCTCCCCCTCGTCTTGGGCGTGTTTGAACCATCTCCATGGACCTCTCTCTTTCTCTCTCTCTCTCTCTCTCTCTCTCTCTCTCTCTCTCTTTTTCTCTCTCTCTCGGTAATTATTTTTTTGTGAAAATAAAAAGGTATCGATGGACCACGGATCAGATATGAAACTGAACAGAGCAGATACCGCACTTGATCACGTAAGAAGATCGGATATGAAACTGATCGACACAGATGCTACACTTGATTGTGAGTGTGTGTAGGGGGGGGGAAGGCGCATAGTTAGTTAGACTAGGTTTCTCTCTCTCTCTCTCTCTCTCTCTCTCTCTCTCTCTCGTGCAGTGCTGTTTTTTTGGTGAAAATAAATAGGTCTCGATCGACCACGGATCAGATGTGAAACTGAACGGAGCAGATACTATGCTTGATCATGTGAGAAGATCGTATATGAAACTGATCGAAGCAATACTACACTTGATGTTGTGTGTGTGTAGGGGGGGAAGGGCCACAGTTAGTTAGATTGGGTTCTCTCTCTTTCTCTCTTTCTCTCTCTTTCTCTCTCTCTCTCTGTCTCTCTCTCTCTCTCGTTCAGTGCATTTTTATTTTTTTGTGAAAATAAAAAAGTCCTTATGGATCAAGGATCAAATATGAAACTGAACAGAGCAGATACTACGCTTGATCATGTGAAAAGATGGGATATGAAACTGATCGAAGCAGATACTACAATTGATCGTGTGTGTGTGTAGAGGGGAAGAGGTGCACAGTTAGATTGGGTTCTCTCTCTCTCTCTCTCTCTCTCTCTCTCTCTCTCTCTCTCGTTCGATGGTTTTTGTTTTTCTGAAAATAAAAAGGTATCGATGGACCACGGATCAGATATGAAACTGAACGGAGCAGATACTATGCTTGATCATGTAAGAAGAACTGATATAAAACTGATCGAAGCAATACTACACCTGATCGTGTGTGTGTAGCGGGGGGGGAGGCGCACAGTTACTTAGATTGGATTCTCTCTCTCTCTCTTTTTCTCTCTCTCTCTCT